GAGAAAGCAGAAAACAGAAGTGAACAAACTCTGAATGCTTAATTAATTAAAAACAAATGAGAGGGAGATGAGGACAGTGCAAATATTCCCTCAGAAGAAAAAGAAGATGAATACTGAAAGGTTTCCTTACTTTACTCAGAGAAAACATATGAAATAGTAATAGCTATTGACTCTATTTATTACAGTCATCCAGTAAAAATCAGAAAGACTTTATGGAAATCTTTAAAGCAAACAAACAAAAGCCAAAAATCAACCAACCAAAACACCCCAAGGAAAAACCCCAACCAATTAAAAAAAAAAATTCCCAAAACCCACTTCAGAAATAATTTCATCTATTATATTACTAAAGCAGTTATTCATCAAGAGATAGAAATTCCAAATCTAATAAAAAAATCCATCTGTGAATAATTCAAAAGAAATTTTAAAGAAACCATACTGCATTTTTCCATACTTTTTATCATAACCGAATGGGCTACCTGATAGTTTTTCTTATTGAGAGGGTACTTAAGCAGTAAATCAGAAGCAAATATGAAGTTATGCACAGATTTTTGAAAATAAAATACCAAAAAAACCAATGCACCCTACTGGCTGCATTGTGGAAGGTACACAGCGTATTTCTATTATGGATACACATTAAATTAATACAGTTAATTTTAAAAGTTACTAATTCCTGTCAAGTAACCAAAGGGGAATAGCAAAGACGTAAAATATTACACAGTTAAAATACAGTGCCAATTAAATGATATTTTTTTTATTTATGGTCATTTAAACTATAGCAATAATAAATTAAACAATTAAACTCTCTGGTAATTTTTAACCCATTTTTGTTGTTGGACCCCTGCTAAATAAAATGTATTTATGGTAGTTTTGAGGATCAATGGTTGGACTTAGTGATATTAAGGTTCTATGATTATAGCTAAATGTATACATGCAAATATTTCTACCAGAGAACAGACTATGAGATGTCTGTAGTCTTAGCGTTATTTGATTCTTGCATACTTTATTAAGATCTTAAGAAATTCCTCTTACTACATCTTACAGTCATGTCTTAACAACTTCCTATGATCTTTACTGGAGCTGCAGAGCTAGCTTGACATTATTATTTCCTACAATGGTACTACCATTCCCAGTTACCAAGCAGGGAAGCAGAGACACGCAAAGGCTGTATATGTATTTCTGTGTGAATCTCTTAATGAGTGAAAATTTATAATGTCATTCAAGGAACTAAAACATACATTTAGACACTAGTTATCTAAATGTAAATCTAGACTGGTGGTAGCAAATCATAGAATGACTTAAAAAAAAAGTGGTGGCACATGACATAGGATAGCTTCCAGATGGAAAGAAAAATATTCATTTTAATAAAAAATTACTAACAAGTTATATCAGCCCCTCCACATCTTCCTTACAACTCCTTTCTAATACTTTCTTAAGATATTCCTAATATTTCTATGTGTATACCTAACTTCCTAGCTCTGATCAGGCCACACAAGAAATAACATGACCAAGAGGAATGTGGTAGAGATGCATGCAGATGCTGTTGGAATGCCATGGTGTGATTAACACTGACCCTGTTGCTCATTGAGAATGCACTATTAGGATATGCAAAGTAACTTACATGGGACTAGAGAAAGGCTGTATTCCTATTAGCATTCATGAGAGCTATGCAGCCCCAGTCTTGTTCATCAAGTTTGGAATATACCCTTTTGTTATTGATGGGAAAATGTCACCAGTTACAAATGGTTACACACAGGGGTGTAGCAAGGTCAAAGCAAACTCCAATAGCTTTTTTCCCCTTCTAAGGCAGAATGCTGCTTCAGCAGTTCTTTTTTGACCTGGTAGTATATCTCTGTAGATAAAAGAAATGATGAAATTCCCTGATTCTGATCTTTGCTGTAGCCTCACCACGCAAAGGTTAAAAAAAAAAAAAAAAACCTCCAAAAGATATTCCATTAGTGGTGTGTTATGGGTCAATCATTAGACAACACTGAAGGCATCCTTGCGTACTAAGTCTGACTTCAAACTCCTCTATGGATCCACCCACAGCTCTGATGAGTCTCATGAAATAGTCTTTCAAAAGTATGAATAGAGTCTGAGTCATCAGTTTCCCAGCTACAGATAACAGCAGTTTCTTCACTTCTATTATTGAAAGCTTCCTATAGAAAACAAAACAGACCTGCTTGGTGCTGCAAATATTCCTTGCCAGTTATGGTATTTCTTAAGAGATGAAATCCTAAATCACTAAGTTAAAATTAATTTTCTTCAAGATCCCACAAGAAAACTGTGGGTTTATGGGAAATTAATTCAATTTTGTGATCTTCACCATTGCTCTTTCCAGAAATACAGTTGTGGAAGGTTCATTCTACCTGCATTTGGCATCCCCAAAAAGACAAAAATCATTCTGGGACTACAAATATGTTCACACATTTGCCGTGTAATCTGACAATCCAAGCTTTGTTGGATAGTGGCTTCTATGTGAGGCTGTATCTAAGCCTTCAGTGCAGCTGTGTTAATCAGCACAAGCTGTGCCTCTGAACCATGATAAAAATAGAAAGCTTATTTCTGAGCAGGCTTTGATTGGGAAGATGCGATGAAAGAAGAAATTGCACCTGTCTAGGAGAAATCACACTGTTCATCGTTAATTACGTCTGAAACACTCAGCAAGGAAAATGTTAAGTGGGTCCAAGCATCAAGAAAATACCCTTAACTAGGCTACTAAATGGTTTAGAAAGTGTCTGGACTTATGAGCAAATTCAGTTGGAGAAATTCAAACTACACTAGATATCACTGGGATCTTTTCATAAGTGCAGAATAAGAAAGTCAGAAAATTAGCCTCAACAAAGGAGGCCCAGCTTCCTGCAGGAACGATATCACATTTAAATGCTAGTACTATTCCATCCATGCTTCACAAAGGGCAGTGATCAGACATGCATGAAATGGCCAGCTTGTTATTTTGTGCTGACTTCTGTACCTGAGAATATTTCTATTCTTCAAGGCAAACCTCTATGTTCTTGAGAGAAATGTACTGCTCTTTTTGATGCTGTTTGGCTAGGGAGTACCTAGACAGCCATGGGAACACCTTTATTTTAACAGATCCATCCCTCATATACAACAGAATACTATTTTAAGGTAGATACAGGTAAATATATGTATGTGTCTAATATATATGTGGATGTGACAGCTTGGTCAGAGAGCGAGAAAACCATGTAAGTTTTCTCACAGCGGACTTGTGAGACTTTTAGGGAGTTGCAAACAATGATAGCTTCTTATTGTAAATAACTTGCAGGTGGTGTTTTTCTACTCATTGTTTTTCTGTTCTTCTCAGGGATTGTTTGTGAACAAAGTGTTTTTGTTAATTAGCCAATCAGGTAGAATGTGTCGAGTCAGTCTATAAAGAGAAAAGTTTTTCACATTAAAGCTGCTGTTGTGCAAACCAGCTTTCTTGGAGTCTGTGCTGGTTTCTTACTCAGTAGCAACATATATATACACAAAAAATAGGCTGACATACAAGAACACAATATACCTCCACAGCTTGTTTTACAGTATCTGGAAATGTGGCTTAAATTGAGCTTCTGTGGGTGTGAATGTCTCGCTTCATAGAGCTACACAATTGTTAGCTCTTATCTTTATGTATTCAGACTCAAGTAATCTGGTTTTCTAAAGTAAAGACATAAAAAAATCCATTTTTTAAAATATCAAACATGTTTCTAACCACTTTGGTTGTTTAGCAAGGCTCAAAAACAAAAGAAAAAAAGCCCAAACCCTAATTTAAAATTACCTTAAAATGAGATTTAATTTATTTTCAAGAACCAGACCTGCAAGTTCATTCATCTTCAACAATTTTTTTACAACATATTTAGCCTTACAGCTGTCAATTTTTTTAAGGAATACTGTTCTTGCTCCTGCTGTAACCCAAAACTTCCTGCTAAGGCTGTGTCAGCAAAAAGACACACTAAATTAAGTCTATTAGTTAGACTGGGACATCCACCTATTGCCTCAGAACCCCAAAAGCTGCTTGTGAAAAATGCATATTTTATGATTGGCTTTTCGCAAATATTACAATGAATATTATATGTGTAATGTTAGAAAGTTATGCTGTATTAATTCTCTTAAGTAGTGTGTTAAATATAGCTTTAGGTTCCAACATAATGTTAGAATAGAGACTATTTATGTGGGGGGATTTCTTTTGTTTTTGGAATGAGATACTCGCTTCGAGGAACACCTAAATCTTCCAAAGAAAGGGAATTTATGGTTTTCTTATCAGAAGCTGATTTCTTCAGGTCTTGCTCAGACTCGAAGAAGCCTTGGAGATTAAAGGAAAGAGTTGACATACAACAGACAGAGTTCTTGTTTTAAATAGAATGTATGCATGCACATGAAGGATATATGAATATGCAACAGGCTATTTCTTTAAAGGTTATTCCTTTGTCCAAAAGGTATGCTTTTCGTGACTTAGTGTCCGAGAGCATCCGGACGTCTGTAATTCTTTGCTTTTTACTGTATTGTAATTGCCCTAAGTCTAAACTTCATTACGCTAATTATCTTACTATTTTTATAACCATTTTATTATTACTAAACTTTTAAAAACCAAGCGATTGGCGTTTTTCACGAATCACCAGGAGCACGCGGAGGCCGGGAGGGGAAGGCGGGGGTGGAGCGCTTCCCCGCACGGCAGCGCCGGCGCCGCGCTCCGGCCTCCGACAGCGAGCGGCTCGGCGGCGGCGCTCCGGGGCGGGGCGGGCAGAGAACCGGAGGGTGCCGGGCGGAGCCGGACCGAGCCGTCCCGCCCGGCCGAGCCGCGGGCCACCTCCCACCCACCCCCGGCCGGCTCCTGGGCGTGGCCGCGCTGCGGACGTGGCAGCGGCCGCCATCGTCCCACGTGGAGTGGGGGCGAGGAAAGCCGCGGGGCGGGGCGGAGCGGGTGGGCACGGCACGGCTCGGCTCGGCTCGGCCCGGCCCGGCCCGGCCGCTCTCACCTCCCCGCGGCGGCGTGGCCGGGCGCTGCTGAGCCGCGGCGAGGAGGAGGGGCCGGCGTGAGGCTCCGCGCAGACGGTGTCACGCCTGCGGTCCGTTCCGCCGCGGAGCATGGCCGGCAGAGGCGCTGGCAGAGGCGCTGGCAGCGGCCCGCCGCCCGCCGCGCAGCCGCTCGCCGGCGGCCACTTGTACCCTTCGGTGAGCGCGGAGAGCGAGGGGCCCGAGGAGGAGGGCGAGCTGTCGGAGCTGCGGCCGCGGGGCAGGGAGAAGGTCCGGCGGAGCGCGTCGAGGGACAGGCTGGATGATATCGTGCTGCTGACGAAGGACATCCGGGAAGGGGACACGCTGAACGCGGTGGCGCTCCAGTTCTGCTGCTCCGTAAGTGCCGGGCGGCGCGGGCCCCGCCAGGCCGGCGTGGGGCAAAGCCGGGCGTCTCAGAAGTGGAAAATTACCTCACAGTGTTTGTGGTATAGCGCAGGGTTCCGGTTCCCTGGGATTTTCCTCGTAGAACTAATATAAGTGTGAGGAACAAGCGCATAGTTTTGGTTGTGACCCTGTCTCAGAGTACAATACATTCAAGGCTGTTCTCCAGTCGCAGGTCGGCACATCTAGTGCCGTCCTCGCTCTTGGGCTGGGTGACAAGGGTGTTGGTGAACTGTCTTAAGGGTTTGTGTAGAGCCCTAATTCCATAAAAGTAGGTGTAAAAAATCCTGCATACTTTTCTTCTGAATTCTACTAAATTGCCCTAGTATTTTAAGCATGAGCGTGCTGTACTTTTGGGAACTTTCCATCCCTGTGCATCCTTGTTTGTGCTGACTACTTGTAACTCATTTCTTACATTAGTCTGGTAAATGTCCTGCTTACCCAGTAATTTTGACTTCCAGTATTATTAAGGCAATGGCATTGGTCTTGGTTGATGTTTCCAGTTTTAACAGGAAATCAGCTGTATGTGTTCAGGGGACTGAGTGCTAATTGCACAGCTGCCATAAGGTCAGGTTCAAAATCTGTATATACAGAATATGCTGTCATCTAATTCTTTGGGCAGAAACAGAATTATGGGCCTCCTGTTGTGACCTTAGGTATTAAAGTCTTGACATAACTATTTCCTAATCACGACAGACCTTAGCCTCATTAACAAAGTCTTCACTTCAGAACCTACTGCAATTGACAATTCTAGCAGTTCTTTGAGGCCAGGCCTCAGTAAGAATGGAAGAGCACAACTAGATCGTGCTCTTTCTTGCAAATTCAAGAGAATGTGGAAGAGCGATCCTGGGACTTGAGGAATAAAATATAAGTTGCGTTGTGGTGGAATCATAAATTGCTGCATTTGGCAGTCTTTTATTCTCATCCAATTTATTCAGCACCATACCCTTAACAAGTACACTGCCATAGTAACTGAAGGACTTCTTCACATTAGAAAGGTTTGTGCGAACTTGGATACAGTGCATCTTCAAATGGGCATAATTCCTGTGTGCTGTGCAGGTGTTGCAGAAAAGCACTGATTTGGAAGTACTTCATTATGGTAAAGTTTGTGGCTGTGCCTTCTATAGTGAGGGAGCTAAGATCTGAAAAAGAAGCCAGTGATTGTCCCAGTGCATTTAAATCCCTGCAGAATATTTCACATCAGACTTAAAATCTGAACTTACTGCAAGCAAAATGAGATTAATTTTGAACAAGGATAGGAAAACAGGAGAGCTGACTTGGGTAAGGTAGATGACAGTAGTTTAAAATTTACACTTCTTTTCTGCCTTAGCACCCAGAAGCAGCAAAAAAAAACATGCCTGTGGCTAGATGAATTGCAAACTCATACTTCATAGTAACTCCTAACTCAGAAGTTTTTCACTGAATTAGAAATTAACCGTAATTTATATAATTTGAGAACTTAAAGTGAGGTGAATTCTCATTAATTTCACAGAGATAGTTAGCAACTGATAGCTGAACATACATTTAAGTAAATGTGTCTGTGTGAAGTGACTTTCAGTCTTCTTATCTGAAGTGAGAGTTTTTGCATCATAATTAATTTCCTTCTTGCTGTAAAGTTGTTCAAAGTTGACCTCTTTTGACTTCATATTGTATGATGGGTATCAATTAAAAAAAATTAATTTAATGGTAATAAAAACCAAAGGCCTTGCCTTAGACTTCAGCTTAAAATCTGAACTTAATTTGAGCAAAATGATATTTTTGAGCAAGAATATGGAAAAGGAGAACTAACTTGGATAGGGCAAAAGCAAAGGCCTCGTCTTTGTTTCCTTACAAAAGACTTGTATTTCTTAAAGTGTAGTACTATTAAGAGAGTTTTGGTTCAATGCAATATGATATTTTAGCTGTTGTTTTCATTTTTAGGTTGCAGATATCAAGAGAGTTAACAATCTTATCAACGATCAAGATTTTTTTGCCCTGAGGTCTATCAAAATTCCAGTGAAAAAGTTCAGTGTATTGACTGAAACCCATATATCTCCAAAAGGAAGACCAGCTCTTCGGCCTGATCTGTGTTCCCCAGAAGTACAGGAAACATCTCTTTGTGATAAATTCTCTGCTAATGAGACTGCTGGCAACTTCTTAAAAGAAGTCGATCGAGATATAGAAGAAATAGTGAAGTGTAATGATACAAAGAGAGAGAATCTGAATGAAGTTGTTTCTGCTTTAGCAGCCCAACAGATCTGTTTTGAAACTGATGGCAAAACTAAAAAATGCAAGGATCCTTACTATGGAGCAGACTGGGGTATAGGATGGTGGACAGCAGTAGTGATTATGTTGATTATTGGCATAGTAACTCCAGTTTTTTATCTCCTGTATTATGAAGTTCTAGTGAAAGTAGATGTCAGTCACCATTTTCCAATGGAATCTTCCCATTTGTTTGTCACAGCAGTATCCCATCAGAAAGAAACAGAAAATGGAATAAATCCAACAAATATTATGAAAGTTGATAATCAAGGAGACCTTCAGCATTAATAGTGGAAGACCCTAGACAGCTGTTATTTGTAGATACGTTGACATAACCTTAGGTAGAAGGGAATCCACAGAATGCAAAATGCACTTAGAATGCAGAGAAGTGTACTGATGTGTGACTTGCCTTTATGGGCAGTGTTCCACTGCAAGGATATTTCTGGGGATCACATAATCTGTCAATATGACAGGCAGTCTGGGGTGTAAATTTGGCGTGTAAATTAAGGTATGAAGTAATGAAGCTTTGCACTCTTTTCTGTTTTGATAGGCATGTTTCTTAAAAATGTAGTTCAAACTAACACACAAGGAGACTGTGTGTTTTACAGCCCAGAAGTGGGCATATGGGGATATCTAACTTTTAAACATCTGAAAGGATTTACAGAATTCATAGTAATACTTTAATATCAGGTTTACAGTTGTAAATTAAAATGGTGTTCTCATAATTTAATCTTTCTTACAGAGTAAATTTTTTTTAAAACTCAGTCATTCCATAATTAATAGCCACTATGGAGTTCTTTTTTACAGAGGAAGTAGCAAACACTTAAATTGGAATCTTGAAATCTTGTGCCTGTGGTCAACCCATTCTTCAATACTTCTCAGTATAGGCACTAAGGTAATTTGTTTTCTGTGTTATGCTGTGCCTCAACGCAGTCACTTAGGAGTCCTTCTGAAACTTTACATTCTTTGGTATCCTGCTGAAAACTGACTGGACTGGTTTCTTATCTGATCACATGTGTGTAGAATGAAAGAAATGCAGAAGTGTAGCACCTTGCTGTAACTGCCCAGTAGTACTTATTTTCTGCTAACAGAAAATTTTTCCTTTTTCCTCCTCCAGTTAATCTCAGTTCAGGACCAACTGATTCTTTAGACAGTAGTCATGTGGGTACTGAGCATGCCAATGCTGGTCTTGTGCCCATGAACCTCAAGCTCTTAAGTGTTTTCCTGAAATGTCCTAGAAGACCTCAAATGATATTTAATGCCTGCTGGCAAATTTGAGCAGAATAGACAAACTTGCATTATCAGACTTGTTCTTTACACATTAGTGTATTTGTTAACCAATCCCATTTTGAATGTTTCTCTTGGAGTTTCATGATCAACCTTGGTTTTCCCCTCTTTTTCTTCCCAATCTAAAAATGCTTCAAAATAAAAAATGAACATAAAAACCTAAATAAAAACCCCACACCTCTGACTCTTCATACAGAAGGGAGGTACTTGGGTACTTAGAATGCTTTTAAATAAAAACGGAGATGGTGCCTATAATTATTTTGGTTATATTTGCCCTGTGGAGCAAGATTTCTGTTGCCCTCTTCAAAACAGTATTTAGTACCAAAACCCAAGATAACAAACTTTGATTAGGACTTAAAAAGAGAAAAGTGGAAAAAAAGTCATCATCCTTTAAACTACTATTGTAACCTTTTCAATGAGTGTCTTGACTAAGTATATACAGTACAAAAAGGTGAAGTGAATGTGTTCTAACTGTAGACGTCTTCCAAAATGCTTTGTGAGATTCTGAGAGTGAAGACATAGGCCCCATGGATTCTTCAGGTATCTGTTGCCCCAAGAAGTGGGGCAGATAATCTTCACTGGCATGCCAAGTGTATGAACAAGAATTGGCTGACTTGTATTATTTTGAAATTGAGGCAGGCAAGAGCTTGAAGGAGAATGGTTTAAAGTTAGGTACCTGAACTATGATCTGTGTCTTTTGAACCTTTTGATTAAAGGAGCATCTGTGGAGATAGTGAGCCTCCTCATAGTTTCCACACTTAGAAAAGGGATTACAAATAGTGTGAACTTGATGGTTTGCATAACACTTGTTTTCAAAGATCATTTCAAATAGTAGTTCTTTTCTTTAAGAGAATATGCCAGTAAGACAAACATAAACATTGAGGTAGTAGTTCTAATGCTATATGAAAAAATACTTCATGAAATAATTTATGGTGGCTAAAGCAATACAGCTCTCATGGTTAAAACTTTAAAAGGTGACTCAGACAAGAAAGTTTTGGCACATAAAAACAAATATTTTCTTTATAGGTTGAAACTTGATATATAATGCATAATTTTTTTGCTGCCAAGTTTTTTATTGTCTGGCTTCTTCTCACATCCTTTGTTGCTGAAACTCATCAGTATTTTATTCTTCCATTTCTTATGTATTCATCAAAGTACATTAAATTAGCTATTGTGATGATGCAGCATAAGCCTAATATACAGCATATACTTGAACTGATGGTTCCTAAATTGCTATTGGTACAGAATTGAAATTAACTGTGGTCAGGAAGGTCTCTGACCTGTTAATGTATGGATACAGAGGTCTGGTGGTACAGCTAAAGAGTCCTCTAGTGTCTCACAGACTTCGTGCTTTTACAGTGTCAAAAACCTGTGGCTTACTGGCACTGAGTTAAGGGTGATGTGCCTTGATTTACCTTAGGATAAGCAGTCTTGATTTACCTTAGGATAACACAAAGGAATAGCTGTCTTAGGTATTCCATTGTAAGCCAGAGCCTGGCATGTTTTCACAGATGTATTATGTAGCGTATTTCATACAGTACATTTTGAGTTAACTTTATCAGAAGATACAGTAGAACTCTTTTCAGGAGAGTAGGACTCCTGATCCTGGTAATCTACAACCATCAGCTGGCTTGGTTTGCTGCAAAATGTGGGGATCTCTACAGCTTTTTTCCAAACTACAACACAATTGGTCATCATCACATGTTAGCCTTGAATAAACAGGATAAACTGCTCTGTGAGGAACTTAAATCTGATCCAAGATAAAATCTGTGAAGATAGTCTTCTAGAAACTGACTTCTTAAACAAATAAGCAAAACCAAAGACAAATAAGCAAAAGAAACCCTAAAAGCAAACAAAAAAAGAGCCCAACCCCCCCCCAAACATGGAATAATTGAGTTGTAAACCATCTTTTGGAATAATTGCAAAACATTGTTCAGGAAATGGGTTTTAAACTCAAGTGCATATTGATTACACTACTGGATCATATAAAATTTAAGTGCTTTAAGTCTGGTATGCTTTGGAATAAGTTATCAGAAATAGTTTTTGTAACTTGTTTAAAGGCTGAAAATACAACTTTTGAAATATTCCTGAGTGAGGATGCAAGTCTTACTTTAAATACTTCTGCTCCTGTGTGTTTTAGAAAAACACAAGTAATATACATAAAAAAAATATTTTATTTTAGACTGCAGGGAAAATGGTGCATCTAATATATTTCTAGTTCTATGTACTTCACATGTTTGTTCAAACTTTTCTGCATAAATTTTGGAGAACTTGTTACTTCCTAAAAACAGGTATGAAAAACTATGGGAGGGGTCAGTGAAGTTCTTAGATGGTGAGATGACAATGAAAGCAGTATTCTGTGCTTTAAATTAGGGTTTGAATATATTCCTGTCCAAATTTGAAGTTTGCTAAAAACTAAAGAACAGTAGTAAGTTTTATTGGTCTTGCAAAAAATTCTAAGCAATCAGAAAATCAGCTTCTAAAAAGAGATGAGAGCATTACACCTCTGGAAGAGCACAATCTCACTGCTTTTCAGAAGTGCCTTGGCACTGATCTGTGCCCTTGCAGAATTTTTTTCCTAATCAATGGCCTTATTTACCATAGCTAAAGTAATCCTGGAGAATCCAGCCTAAGACTGCAATTCCCTCTGAAGGGTAGAGGTGCCTACAGTTTACCTCTTAAAGGACTTAAAAAGACCTGGTTTTTACCAGAGTAATATTTCTCAACAGTGCAGTAGGAAGGCAGTTGCCCATTAGAAGAATAACGAATGGAGAAAGTAATCGCTCCTCAAGAATTACTGTCTGCTACAGAGTAAGATACTGCACTTTTTCAGGCAAGCCACAACTTGTCAACAAATTGTTACTCATACAGTTAACTCTTTTCTAGTCTTCATTTTATAGTTCCATCTATTTGCATTCCTTTTTTAGGGGTTAAGAATTCTCACTGTTCACCTTACACGGGGAGAACAGCAAGCAGAAGCAGTTACAGTCATGGCAAGCAAATTTAATTTTTAGCATACTTCCCCCATTCACATCTTCTCTCTGTGTTTTATATATCATACACAAGAAATGGGCACACTCATTCAAGAAACAACTGCTGATGTGTGTGATGTTAAAAAAAAGAAATTAACTGGCAGAATAAGTTTCCTTTGCAATGCATCTGAATGTTTGTTACACATTGTAGTCAACAATGCTTCAAAACTGGTATACCTCTGAGCTGTGAGCTGCATAGCATTTCAGTTTTATTTCCTTTTCATATGATAGGTATTTTATCAGAACACTTGAAAATTGCACCTTAAGGACCAAATTTTTGCTGCATACAGAAGTTCACAGAATAATGCAGATTTTTTTCCGAGTCACCAGTAAGGTGAAATACTGATTTTAAGAAAATAACACTTCAAAACCAAGCAACAAAAAAGCCCAAAAACCCTGATCAACAGTAATGTAGTAACAATAAAAAATAGTATTTTTTATTATCAAAAGACAGTAAGATACAGAGAATGTGCTGTCACAGTGTTCCTCAAGCATCTAATCTCAGTAATCTAAGCTTTCAACACTGCAACTATTGATTCTCAAATAAAAAGGATGTTACCAAACAATCAGCTTTTGCTTTTCTTGGCATTCTCTTATTTTTCTAATTAAAACATTCATTAAAATACTTCACCACAATCCTTTTCTATATTTTGGGGTTTATTTCTTACTGATTTGTTGTCTGTCGAGTTCGTTCTGTAGGAAAGTAAATAAGTACATCAACAATTACATAGATTGTAATTGCCAGCTCACTTAACAGCTCTGATGTAAGAAGGTATTGCTATAATATGTAGTGAAACTGAAGCAAAAGGCTCAAATTTTCATCGCTAGTGAGTGCACAGGATTCCATAATTTCTTAAATTCTGCCATATATTCTTTCTAAGGCAAATTATCCTTAATTATGATGGATGCTGATTCATTAGGGTAGTATAACATTTTAATATGTTCCTTTTAACCAAAATACTAAAGGCAATGTGTTCTTCTAATTAGATGAACAGTTCTTTGTGAGTTTGCAGGCCCCATGTCAGGCAACTCCCTGGGGGCTCCCCTGGCAGGAGGAAACCCTCCTGAAGCAGTTCTGTGTCAGGAAAAGCAGAAAATGCACAGGACTTTCTTGGTCTTAAGCTTCTGTTTATTGTTATCTTATCATGACTTCAGCACACTGTCTGTGCCCAGACATTGCATGCATGAAAACAGCACAAAAATGGCTAACAAACTTGTTCTGCAAGGTCTTTTTAAGTCTAATCAAAAACTAAACTACCCAATTAAGTAAGAAGTGACACCTAGATTATTTCCCTTTCTAACACATTAACTGACCCCTAAAGACCTGCAATGCAGATTTTTCTATCCAATTACAAAATACCACCCAAACCCAAGAAGAAGAAGAAGGAAGAAGAAGAAAGGAACTTGAGACAACACCCTGTATCCTCCATCTTGTACCTATTTGCAATATGCTAAAAGTCCTAAAATCTAAATTTCTCCTCCATCTTGTACCTATTTGCAATATGCTAAAAGTCCTAAAATCTAAATGTCTCACCCATTTCTAAATTTCTCACCTTATATTACAAATATATAGAGAGTATAAACTACTCTCTATAATCTCAACCACCTATTGCACAACGTTTGTGGTTTCTGGTTTACTTTGAGGCTTAGGAGGCGTTCTCCATGAATGAGGGTGAAAAGCCAGTGTTTTCCTGGGATTCGGGGCACCCCAGGGCAGACGGGGATATTCCCCTTGCCCTGGATTCCCACTGTTCTTCAAATTACTATAATGTTGTTTGTCTATATTAGTAAGGCCTTTCCAAGTCAGTTTATATTCAAGTGCATAGTTTTCAGTTATTTTCAGTTATCCGAACTCAGAAGTTTATATAAAAGTTCTTCAAAGGAGTCAGCTGCCAACAAGCAGCTCATGTCCATAAAGGCTATATGTCTTTTTTTTTTCTTTATGAAGAATTTTGTTATTTGTTTCTACATTTTGCTGCTGAGGCATAGAATTGACTAGTGTAAATGCTTACACACAATTTCAAGTAAAATGCATACACTTTTTTTTTTTTCTGTGCAGAAGAAACACAGCTGCATAAAGCTTTCTCTATTCGTAGGCATTACAGAGGACCTTAAAATGGCATGTCTGCAAAACACTGAGCAAAAGAACAAAACAAAGGACTTCCTAGCCTCTTTTACAGAATAGTACAATTAAACGCCAATGTGGTTTTGGAGAGTCTGTTTAAAATCAACAGAGCTAAAGCATTAAGTCTTATTTATACTCAGACTATCTCCAGAATTCTGCTTCAAGTAGTATAAGGCTTGAGCAGTTTAACACATAGCTACAATAGCTACTATGTTGCATCAGCCCTGTTGTCATCACTGACAACACCAAAGCCATCTCCATCTTCAAAATAGGAAGAAATGTAGTCATTTTCCTAAACCAATGGAAAAAAAAAATACTATATGTGTAGAGAAGACAATTTATAGAAGAAACATAATTTAAACTGCACTTGAGCACCCACACTTTAAAACAGTAATAGATTATTGGGAAGAAAAAAGGCAAATACTTTAATGAAGTCCTGATATATATGAAACGACAGGCATCACTGTTTTTGTGATAAAAAGGAGTAATTGAGTGTTCTGGTTGTGTCAGAACACATTCTTGTATACAAGATCTTTTTATCAGAGCTCATTGTGAGTAACAAGTCTAGAATAGTCACTTAAATTTACAATACAACATAGTGCAACAAAGATAATGAGTGTAGTAATTTCTCCCAAAACAGCTCTGCCTTATTGGGAGCTAGGGACATTTCTTTGCCAGGCAACACACTATCAATGACTGGGATCTGACTCTGTATAAATAGGAAAACTAACATTATACCTCTTAATGCTCTTCTTCATCATATTCCTCTGGTTCTTCTGCTTCATCATCTTTACCTCCTTTGCCTTTTGTCTTCCTCATCTTCAGGTTTTTCTTTTTCCTCATCCTTCTTTTCTAGCTCCTGTCACAAAGCAATCTCTTAACAAGGTAATCCCATGTTACAGCAACAGCTCATCCTCCATACTACGAAAGAGTTAAGATGCAGTTAACAGCAAGACAGCATAACAATGCTGTGCAAATGTTGTGTCAATATTTAAAACAATATGGCTTGAAGCACAAGAGCTTAATAAGGATTTACCTGGTCAAGCATCAGCCATTAAAAACCATGTATCTTGTAACAAACTGAGATGCTGTTTCCCTTTACCATCCACTGCTAGAACAGTTGACAGAAGACCATGATTGTCGCGGTGTGTTTGTGGTCCCCCGGGGGGACCCCCAAGCTGTGAGTTCGCTGTAGCAGCGGGCAGGCAAGGAGACTCCACACGGCTCATGAGGTGCTCGTTAGATGATTAGGGTTTATTGGGAAGGGTTATTCTACCCCCGGGAAGCAGCATGGTGTCTGAGGGAGGGAAGGGGGAGGGGGAGAGAGGGAGAAGCTAGGGAGAAAAAGGCCAAGAGCGAGCCTGGTCTCCCCAGCACAGGTTAACAGGGAGATTCAAAGTGGGCATGAAATAAAATTTGGGCCAATGGCATTACAGGAAAGTTATATGTCGGGGAGGATTACAGTCTTGGAATAAACCATAGATTTTTGAGGGGTGAGACAGAGCATACCATTTAACTAAAATGTAACACCACACTTGATAAAGCAATACCACATACTGACATACTGTATGTAATAATATAACTGCTTCAAACAACTGGTGGATCACCTGGAGAAAAAATACAAAGCTGTTTCACCTTAAAGGTTCCCACTGCCACGTGGTAAGTAACTACCAACAAAACAGAAGTCACATCCTAAGTTTCACACACATAAGTTTCTGTATGTTTCTTCCTTCTCAACTTACTAAATTGTTTTAAGTTCCAACATCAGTAGATTGGTGAAAAAGCAACAGATTTAAAAACACTGGCACCAGTGCCTCCTTCTGTAAGCTCCAGTAGTAGCTGTTCACATTAGGCTGTATTGCTGCTACCCAGTGAAGAGCAGTTGGTTGATGTGTTCAGGAACAAACAAAAGCAAAGGAAGTAATTTCTCCACAGCCAGACTCTATTCTTACACTAACCTTTGCACCACCATACTGCAGAACAGTTGTCTTTCAGAGTAGCAAGACAAGATGAGAAAAATCTGTTATTCCATTTATACAAATACACATACTATATTTCATTTTCCTTCAATTTTTGTTGTAAAATTTAGAAATAGTATGCACATCTTAGCTCAGTTTTTTTAATCCAGATTACTTTTACTCTCAGAGTTTTTTGCCTTTTTTGTTTTCACACCTCGTGAAATAAAATAATTACTGTTATTTTTTTTTAATGTGAAAAAGACAAATTCTCTTGTTTTACTTGTTCTTAAGAGTAAATACATCCTGAGTATGCCACAGAAATCCCGTAATATCTGTATTAAAATTACCTGAGACTTTGAGCTGCATCATTCAGAGAAGTAAATGTCTGATTTATGTAAGAGATGCCTGGAAAGGCAGTCTGAAATTAAGTTTGAACAAGTAGCGGACCAAAGGCTAGGCTAAAGTACAATATTCAGCTTCACAAAATACCAGTCATCTATATACTTAAAATATGCTAAGAAACTAGAACAGAATCTCACTTGTTAAGTTTAATCATCTTGAAAAGATAAAACCTAATTTTTACTAATTTATACAAAACATTAATGATGGATGCTTCACACAAGTAGATGTAAAAATAAAAGCAGAAGTTCATTAGATCTAACAGAAGGCATGATTACTATATCTACATGGCTTTTGGACTACAATTGGCTCTCATCTAATGATCTGTGTTGGGTATTTCTGCATAGTCCCCTGATTCATGAATGTTATCAAGTTTCTCTCTGACTAACTGTATAGTGGAGCAAAGATCAAAAATAGCAATCTATATACCCAGGTAAGAGTTACTTGAATGGCGGCACACTAAACCAAAGTTCCCCAAATACTCAAGGAAGGAGAACACTGAGAACTGCTGATAAAACACCTATATTATATCAAAAACACTTGTCATAAATAACATTGAGTTTATTCTAGTGTTTTGCCTAGGAAAGGATTATATGACTAAAGCACTGCACAGAGCTCAGGGGAGTCGAGCTGCTCTGCAAAAACATGAACAGCATCAAAGCAAGCACATCCAGAATGAAGTACACTTTTTAGGAAAACAAGCAGAAAGTGCAATTTAGAATTATCATTCCTGCACAACCTCCTGCAGGATTTTACAGATAATGCCTATAGAACAAACAGACATTTGAAATTTGTCTCTAAAAGCTGGGCATCTTTGACCCTTATAAAATTAGAGGCACTGACCCATTGTTAGAACTTCAAGCAAAATAGCTCCCTATGTTATATACTTTAAAAGTGCAATGGAATACAGTCTCATCTCATTTCCAAATACCTGGTGTTGTACTAGTTGGGTTAAAATGCATGCATTTTAGTGCTATATACCTATGCATATGGCTGGCCTACAATGTCAACTAAACCCAGATGGCATTTTAATTTATCTTATTTATGTATTTTTTCTTTTCAACAGGCACTGCTGGCATCTAGGATATTGCATTTCACAGCCCAGGGTCAGTGTGGGAGAGATGTGGAAGTCTACCCAAAGTTTTGTCACTGAGAAGGCAAATGGTCAGGTCTTCAGTTAAAACATCCAGGGAAACCAGAAAGAAGGAGAGGAGATGTGTAAAAGTAAAGCTGCCCCTGTGCATGGAACTATTGATACCAAAATCATTCCTGCAAGCTAAAAAGGGAGAATGGTAGGAACCTGGTTTGAATTTCTGTGCAAATTCTGTTGATTTGTTCACCTTTGTTCAACCATAGTTAAAGTGTCACCTAAGTTATGTGAACTCAAAATACAACAAAGATGGTGTACCAGGAGTTCTAATGGGTCATTGATCAGCTATGTACTAACCTCCTGACTCATATATAACTCTGTATCATTTGGATTCCACAAAAAAACAAAAAACAAAAAAAACAAAAAAAANAAAAAAAAAAAAAAAAAAAAAAAAAAAAAAAAACCCAAAAAAAAAAAACAAAAAAAAAAACACCAAAAAAACCCACCTAAATGTATCATCAGGAGTCCACAAAAAACTCTAGCCCCACATCATTTTTGCTTTTAGGGGAACCTGTTTTTTAATCCAATCAAATTCTGATGGTCAGCTGATCTTTGCCATTATGTAGAGGAATGTACTTTTAAGAGCCAGTAGAGAAACTGGAACTGAAGAAAGAAAAATTCCCCCAGTGAGCAGTCATTCCCTTTTTATGATCTCAGGGTGAAAACTATTGTGCATAAACTTATAAAAGCCCATGGTTTCTTCATTTGGAATAAAACCTCAAGTATATTCTGGTCCCACCTTTGGAGATTTTGCAATTTTCAGTTGAATCTTACAGTCTAGTATCATGCTTCTCAATGATGCTCTAAAAATGAACAAGGATTCCAGCTGAGCCAGTGTCTGTGACTATGCACATTCCCATTCCTTTTTATATTTTATCTGTGAACTGAAAAATGACACATGACACTTGGAAGAAAGCAAACAATTATATAAAAACAGACAGCTAAACACAGGAGACCAAGTGTTTCTTCTCACAGGAGGCCACAGATTGCTACAGAGAACTTAAAATTTAAGTCATGCATAGTAGAAAACACTTTGAAAAACAAATGATGCTGTGTAATAAAAATCAGGTTTTCTGTAAGAACTACCACTACCAACTGCTTTTCAAGGATCACAATTCTACAGACAAAAGCTGAAAATGAAGTAAAATTAGGGAAAATAGAAAATAACCAACATTAAATTACATATAAAGGATTACCTAAAAAATTTTTAAAATCAACTAAATCACTAACAAGATAACTGAGAAACCAAAATATAAAGGAAACCTTAACAGCCAGTTACTACCGAATAGAAGGATAAGTGCTGACTAAAGATACAAATTTTCAAACCAAAAAAGATTTGTGAATATTTTTTTAATTTTTCACTTTTACATATCTTGTATGTTAATATGGTATATCAACACAAAAGGCAGAATAATTGAAGGTAAGTCTGTTCCAGTAAGTTAAAACATCCTACAGAAGCAAAGCAAAAATCACAAAAGGCAGACTAATAAAATATTTAGGAAAAAAATCTACCAAATGCCTTACCGATTTAGACTAACATTCCTAACATTTTTTTCCTCTAACTATCTCCATTACTGCTTCTGTCTCTCAACTACTATGTAATACTTGCTTAAAATATATAACATACCTTTTTTGTTTGTCTTCTTTGATTTCATCTCTCTTGGGAGTCTTTTCCAATCTGTACAGAAAATAGCTTTAAAATAGAAAAATGATGATTTATGGCAGTAATCCTTCCCCTGCCACCAGAGAAAGGAACGACTCCTTTTGTGCTTGATCCTATTTACATGCATGCCAAAATGTTTTAACACAAAAGTTTTAGGGAATTCTAGCTGTAATTTAAATTGAGGAATGGGAGTCAAGATTACAATTTCACCCACATAATGACAACTGGCTTCTATCCCAAGGAGACAAAGTTCGGCCATTCCAGTGGCCCAGGTCCAGGGGCACTTCAACTTAATAAGTAAGTAATTAAGTTTGCAGTAGTGAACTATAAAGATATGGTTAGGGAAAGCTATTATAAAACACAGGTTCTCATAACAGACATTATTTTTAGTAACATCAGTGTTTGCTCCCAGTTCAAAACTTATGAAGTGAGTAAGGACAAAGGAGAGCAAGAGTGAGAGCTAAAGTTTGCATTTGTGCTGCCAATCAGTTGTTACAACAGAGTAAATAAATAAAAGCAGATTATTTCCTTCTTTTTTTTTTTTTTTTGACAAAACGGTACTCACCTTGATCTGAAATAATGCCAAATACAATAAGTCTCAACATACAGAATTGGAAGGAATATATATGACTTGGTAACCATTTAATATATTTTTTATTATTTGAAAAATAGTGAATCAAATACTTGAAAGATCAGAACATTTCACAGGTTCACAGAAAATTAGCTTTGATAACATCAGATATTTCCTGGTGTCTGTGTTTCCTGCCTTTGCATTGTCCTGGTACTTCTGACTATCTTTCAATTGCTATAGACAAAGTGTTATTCAGTTCACAGTCAAGGCAATTCAGACACAGTCCTTCATATTTACCTGTAACTGAGCATACAGCATACTTTTCTAATCCCATGTTGAACAGTTTCTGGTTGTCAAACAGTAAAAAAAGAAACAAAAAAAACCTCACTCCAAAACAAATAAAAAACACCCAATACTCCAAAAATACTATAATTTATTCTTTTATCCTTGAAAAGCACAAAATTGTTAAATGCTAATTTATTCAGAGACTAGGTTGAAACATCAAATATAACACTTAACTCTGTACTCTTCTAGAGTTTCACAATCAAACCTTTATTACAAAACCACTGAGTAACATTTAACATCACTGTGTTAATCATAAATAGTATCCAGTATTCCCAAGTCTCAAAAGGTTGTGTCTGATCATCAGCTTCCAAGACTTTCAGTACTTCTGCAATGGAAAAGCTTTGCATCCTATCCAAAACAGCAACTTAACACTTGAATCCATTTAACCTCCTTCCAGGCACAATAACTAAATTGAGAAATTCATTGTAAATAACACAGCAGTCATACAATGCAAGTACATCCATTTATATGGAATAACCTTTTTTATACAATCTATAATGCCAAAAGAATACCAAAACTTTAGTATTTTTAAATCAGTCTCATTTTTTCTTTCCAAATAACCACACACAAAATCCACTTTGTGTAAAATTACTGAATCTGATTGCACTGTTAACCTAAGTAAGGATAATGTTTGCAGATATTTTACAAAAAATAGTAACAAAGATAGCCTTTGACCTTTTGCATCAAAGACTTCTAGCACATAATCACTGACTCATAGAATCACAGAAATGTTTGAATTGCAAGGGACCATAAACATCATCTTCTTCTAAGCCCACTGCCATGGGCAGGGGCACCTTGCACTAGATTAGGTTACTCAAAGCCCCATCTAGCCTGGTGTTGAACACCTGTAGAAATGGGACATCCACAACTTCCCTGAGCAACCTGTGTCAGTGCCTCAGCACTCTCACAGTAAAGAATTTCTTCCTAATGTCTAATCTAGACCTGCTCTCTTTCAATTTAAGACATTCCCCCTTGTCCTGTCACTATATGCTATTACTCCATCTTTCTGTAAGTTCCATTTAAATACTGGAAGGCTGCAATTAGTTCAGCCTGAAGCCTTCTCTTTTCCAGGCTGAACAATCCCAATTCTCTGAGCCTCTCCTCACAGGAGAAGTTCTCCATCCCTCTGATCAATTAAGTGGCCCAGTCCTGTGCTGGGACCCCAGAGCTTACGCAGAACCACAGTGGGGTCCTACCAAAGCAGGGAAGAGAGAGGAACAATTCCTCCCTCAATGTGCTGGCAATGGCCCAACTGAGGTGCAGCACTTTGCACTCACTTTATTAAACCACATGAAAATCCCATGCACCCTTCTCCAGCCTGTCAAGGTCTCTCTGTATGGCATTCCATCCTTCAGGTGTGTACTCACCAAGGAAAAAGAAGATATCATAAATGAAAACAAACCCTAAAATTATTTATTATGAATGCAAGCAGAAAACCTTCTCAAAATTGTGCATGAAAGAGTCTACAATTAAAATAACAGTGACTCAAGGGGCATTCACAGATGTAGGAAACTCTCAGCAAATAGAGGAAAAGAAACCAGTAGTTTGGATTTCAGACCAAGGCTCTTTAGTGAAGAAATAATTGCTGATGCCATCAGTAAAAAAATATATTGACTGACTCTTGCCACTTATAACCAAGGAACTAATTCCAAACCACTGCCAAGGTGGCAGTCACCTAGTCTTGGCAGATATACCTACAGAAAATATGAGTGATTAATAACTTGCATAGTGGGGTAAATAAAGAACTTTCTATAGAATATGCCTGCTATTCTCTCAAAATGAGTGTTGAATGATGGAAATCTATGCTACACGGCACATCAAAATTTTCAGGTAGAATAAGATACGGCTTTAATTTGCTACCTGAATAATGATAGATACATCCTAATTAATTAAAATGTTTCCCTTCTCACACTTCAAAGGACCATTTGGCTCACAGATATTACTCTGAGGTTTTAGAACAATCCGTTCACTCTCGTAGCAAAGACAATTTATGAAGTTCCTGCTTACAGCCCACCCTATAACACCCTCTTAGTTTTACAAGATGTTTTGTAAACCAGGTAACAGAAAATATCAGTTAAAATAATATACTCTACAGTTTTCTTAAAGCTAGACCACTTTTGCCACAGAATGTAGTCCCAGAGACAACTGCACATTTCAACTGAGATAAAACCAAGCTTTTTCAATTGAAGACCATCACTGATGTAATTATAACCCACCGCTCAGATGTGGCATTTTTGTACAATTCAAGATTCATTAAAAAGATACCTCAGCTTACCAACTTACCCTTGCAGAGGTGATGAGAACATTCGAAGCATTATTTGGATCTATAAAGTGGCTGCCTACCTGCTTTTCCTGCAACTGTCAACTTTGGTAGGAAAAAAAAGGGTTTTCCAAACTGCCAGTTCCATTAAATAATACACTCAGCAACAGAGAGAAATCTCTCCATCTCAGAAAGGCTTCAGGAACAAACATAATCCTGAGGTGAATAGTAAGAATAATCACATGAGATAAAAGTCAGAAAAGAGAGATGGCATTGTCTCATAAAGCAGCTGTTTCGTTGGAAATAACCCTGGCTGGGTCTCAGACACAGCAATTTCCCTTTTTGTGCCTCTAACAGAAATAGCAAACTTCAAGCCTGACAAAGATCAAAAGCACAGCTATCCTCTAATGAGATGGAAATCCACAGACACTGGAACTTGTTTATCCAGAAGATGAAAGAGGACATATGATAAAAGAGTAATTCAAAGTTCTTCTATCATCATAAAAGGATCCAGAAATAAGGATCAGATCCATTCTTGCCTCATAGCCAATTTTAACTGGTTGCATCACCTGGGATCCAGCTGCAGATCAGGGGAAATAATCTGTCTTTTGTGAGCCACAACATCTGGCTGGCAATGTGTTCACTGCTCACACTGCTGCTCCATTTCATACACGGCTTTAGTATGTAAACAACTGGACAATAAGGAGTGTTACAGTCAAAGCCTAATTTAAAAAAAATTGCATACCGTTTCAAAACCAACTAGAATTCACCATTACACCATGACCAGAAATGAACAAAAATTCTGAGGGGATTGGATTACGCACCTGTATATTATCATCATGAATATTTACCCAGACAATATTCTGATGGGTTTCTGTGGAAATGAAACCTTACATTTTAGATTATATGTCAGCTCTCATTATTCTAAATTGCCGCAAGATAGGAAGGAAAATATTATCCAGTGTTTAGCCACTTCAGGTTTTTTAAACACTTTTATAAAGCTGTAACAGCACTTGAGATTTATAACATTCAGAATATGCACTCAGCAGCTAATAAAACTAGGAAAAAAATAATGAATGAAAAGAAGCACTTCTCACAGTAAAAATCATGAGTGACTTCTAGATTTACAGTATCCTCACAGTATGGTAAACAGACACATCAGTTTTTATGCTCCACTTTCCTTTTTTCCTGCTAGCTCAGTTTTCTGACCAGGAAGCTTGAATTTTAACAGTATAATGATTTATGATTGGATTTCAAGTATAACTCCAGCATTTATTGTTAACAAACAATAACAAAGCAATTAATTTTTAGTTATGTGTAAGCAAAAGAAAATCTGGGTCCCACAAAAGATCAAGATCTGGCTTCTAATCCAGCTCTGCTTCTAATAAAAACTTCAATAAAAAACTGAGTATCTTTTTTTTTACAATTTCCATCTGTTAAATATAATATTGATTATTCTTAGTGTGCCTTTATACAATTTCAATTAAAGCTGAATTCAACACTAGTATTTACTACATATTTCTTTGCTCTGATGAAAAAGTTTAGGGTATTGTAACACATAGAAATACCAATTTGGCTTGTATTGGCTAGCATATAATTGAAAAGGCTGCATGTAGATAGTTTAAATGTTTATTACTATATACCAAATAGAATAGAAATTTGATACCTCTCTTTTCCACCCAGTAGCTGCTTTCCAGTTACAGGACTTCATTAAATGTAAAAGCAGAAAAATTCCCTATTAGCTTACTCTGCCATTTTTACTTCCTCTTTATAAGAATGAAACTCATCCTCAACACATTTTTCACTACCTCAGCTTTCACAGAATAATAAATAAATATATAAATAAAAATAAAAAGCATATAAACAAACCTTTGATATTGATCTCCTACTGTCAATAAGTATAGCATTTTTTTCGTAGTTTCTCTAAGATCTTGTTTTAAGGCAAACATGTAATCCTTATCTTCTCTTCTTTTCAGAGGCACTGGCTTATTGTCTGTACTCTGTAAAAATAATGTTTATTATTTATAAGGTCTTGATAGCCACTAAATACACAGGTACATTAATAAAAACTACAAGAAACATAAAAAAAAGAGTGCAACTATGCACTATACTATTTCTCAAGTACACTGCATTGCATTTTGATATGCATAGTAACTATGTTTACAACTAAATTTATACCTTATAACTTCACTTTATCTTTCTGCAAAAACGTACCACAAAATCAAGGAAAAAAACAGTTTTATTAAAACTGTTACACAGTCATTCATAGTAATCCTAAACTCTTAATTGCCAAAAGCAGTTATTCTCACCAACTTAACTTTCTCAGAAACCAGTCCTTCTCTCTTCAGAGTAGTGTTGCTCTTAACCACTTCTATGATAGTGTTGCAACTATATTACGTATGATATCTGAATAATACGGACACTCTTCCCATGACTATTACCATGTAAACAGGTTGTGTTGTGTATCTAAAACCAGGCTCTCACTCAATTCAGTTGCTACCAGCTGAATTTAAATGAATTGTTAAGAGTTGTATTTCTGGGGTTTGAGGGACGTTTTTTGTGGGTGTTTCTCTGGGGTTTGTTTTTGGGTGTTTTTGTTTCACTTCAATCTTGAAAGAAAGACAAATATGCAAAAACACTTTCAAAAATATCCAGAACACTACAGACAGAATTACAGAATGGATGTTGTTTCTCTCATGTGATAAACGGTGCTTAATCAACAACTAAGTGGTATGTTGCAAAGCATGAGGTGCTATCACAAGTCCCAGATCTGGGCCACGAAAGGAGCTTACTGCTTCCATCTATATTTGCTAATTGGCCAGCACTTTAAATCACTTAATATTGCTGATGGTAAGCTGCTGCTCCTTAATTGGGTTTCTAATTGCATTTACAGAAACTTTGAGTGAACTCAGAAAATGTCTAATAGAAATATGCAACAGCAATAATTCACTGCTTCAAATAATTTCACTGTAAGTTATTCAAAGCTATAACATACTTTTGGTCATTGTCCAAAATTAAATCAACACTTGAATTTTTTATTGACTATACTTACACAGCTAGGTTAACTCTGATTTTCCTGAATGGCATCAGATTCCCCGAGAAGTTTAACTTGATTCTGAAATTTTGTTCAAAGAAGGATAAAAGCTTTCTTACCTTGTCCATAGTATACATTGTAAATATACTGAGGCTAGTAATTCGCCTGTAAACCTGACTGTACCTCAAAAGATGCAGTGTATACAGAATCCAGATGTCAGAGAACTGTGCTGTCAAGCAGACTGCAACATTCACATAAGAAACAGTTACAGATGATTTAGTAATATGGAATCACACATCTTAATTGTAATGCTGGATTAAGAGGATGAATAATATACGGTTTGGTAAGTCAAAAGCTTCCCTGCACATCAAAACGCAGTCAGAAAATGGTCTTTATTCCCCTTTGATTTTCAAATACATCCCAAATGCCAAGTCTCAAGCTTCCTTAATTACACAAAGTATCTTTCACTTCTTTTCAAATGCTGGCTTCTGCAGTACAGTACAATCATACACAATCTTTCATGTTTGCATAAATAGTAATTTTCTAAAATCAGCAAATCTATTTATAGCTTCAAAGATTAATGTAAACTCATTTCAGACAAATCCAAGTATCCAGTGTTTCTATTCTTGTAATGCGCAGAAAATCATAATGAGGACTTCAACGTACTAACTCCTTGCAAGCAACAGAATTAAGTACGGGATACAACAGTTAACAAAGGGACAGGAAAGCCCCTTTTTGATGATTTAAGAGAAATGGTGACTTATTATAAAATCCAAAGTTCTTAGGGGTGTTCATGCATTTCATTATGTTCTCTAAACATGAGTGTGAACACAGTTTACCTTATTACAGAGTGTGCTCCAAGATACTGGCTGTACTTACTGGAAATGGTGGTGGAGGCTTACAGATGACATCAGGTAGAGCTGCACCTTTACCAAAGCCAACAACCTCTATGTTGAAGGCAAATGAAGCATGTCCTCTTCCACTACCTGACCCAGCCATTTGGATAAACTGAAAATATTATAGATTTTTAAACATATATTTTCCTCACATATTTCAAATTGATGTACATATTACCAAGAAAGTTAGTGTCTAACAAAGATTACAGTCAATTTAAAACCAGAGATAATTTTAAATAGAAAGCCATTTTCAATGCCCATCTTAGATTTTTCCACAGACTTTAAATTTGATACAAGCATAAAATCAGCTTCATTCCCTATTTTTGCTAGGCACCTCTGCATGCCTCCTAACCTAGGAATTTTAAGTCACCTTCTTCTAAAATCTTAGATGCACTGTACTGAGTTCAACCAGAAGAACCAGAAACAAGTGAAAAAAAGTTTAAGAACCCTGAACTTCCTGTGAATACATTCTAGTGTTATTTTTTAACTTTTCTCCAAAAACCAGTTTGTGTTTGTTATTCAGGACTTCTTCCTGACTATTTTTTGCCCTTTATCTTAGTAACTATTTTTGGATCTTGATAAAGTGACACAGGCAAAGAGGTAATTAAGGTAGTAAAAAGTCATGAAAAACTACAGCAGGACTGCAAGCTAACTGCAGAAAAAAAAGAACGGATGTTTTTTCTAACTGAAATATTTTAAAAGGTCATAAAAGAAGAAGAGCCTCCAAAACATTTACAGTCATATCTCCCCACTTTCTCAGTTTTACCAATTCATTTTCATCTCCTTAATTGCACAACCCAAGTAAATCAAAATGTGAGAATGTCAATAAATGGAACCCAAGAGAAGCTGAAGCACTGTGATACTGCTCACTCCCACAGACCACTCAGATTGGTGCAAGGTCCTAGCCCAGAGATCCTATGAGCTTTCACTATTAACTGCAAGGTCACTATACTTGCTCAATACAACCAAGTTGTTCCAGACTTACTGCTGTACCTGTACGAGTGCATCTGGTTCACCCCAGACAGAAGCAAAGGCCTTTTTATAAAGGCCAGAGAAAACATACTGAAGGCAGTTTTTTTTCCTGCTTGTTACTTTTAACAGAAATAAGCTCTAAGTGGATAAAACAAAATCATATTCTGCATTTCCACGTCACTCTGCAGCACAGAATACTGTCTAAAAATAAGCACAGAGACCTAAATAAATATTTTTTTAAAGAAAAACAAGGGAAGGGAAGGGAAGGGAAGGGAAGGGAAGGGAAGGGAAGGGAAGGGAAGGGAAGGGAAGTTCCTCTGAAAATAGGGTAAAAAGCAAGATGTGAGACTTGCAGAATAAGACAAAAGACACTGTAAAGCCCCAAACATGAGCAATTATCTAGATGTAGGGAAAAAAAAAAAACAACAGCAGAACAGCATAACAAAATAAAAGTTAAACGAGATGCTGAGCTAGCAAGGAAAGGCATTAAATGCAGTGAATTTAAAGGTCCATTTTCTAAAAGCTGCTTTAAAAATAATACATAGTAAAATTAGCTTAGTCTGATGAGAAGTAATAAGCTTTAAAACTAGCAGCATTTTAACTGCACATTTCTACCCAAACTTATGATTTTTTCAAAACCTCAGAAGGTTTATGTTTACTGACAGCACAAAGTGAGAGTGACAAATAAAAAATCCTGAAGAATTGAGTTGGACAACTAAGCCAACCAAGCATGACAAAGTTATCACAACTAGTGTTCTGTTTGCCTTGGGTGATGTCTAAAGGATCACCTGGGTGTATTTTCCTCTTCATGGATAGTTCGTGTGTCATTTATAAAAGAGAAGATAGTCAGGTTTAGGCCTTTCAAATTCCTCCGAAACTATGCGTGCAGTTTCTTGGGCAGTTACTCAGGGGAAGGCAGCTGACGTTTCGGGAAGGAATCCGGATCCCCGACAGCTGCCGGGCGGCTGGGGCAGCAACAGCAGATCTAAATAGACTGAGCGACCCGGAGAGCTCTCGGCATCCCACGCTTTCCTCACAACGAAACTTCTGATCGCGTTCTGCTGGTTCTGGTCCTCGGTTTTCACAGGCAGGCGCCATCATTTGAAGGGAAGAACAGATACAGAAGAAAGTATTGATTTTTAAATACTGAGGTTTTCTATTTTATCTCTCTGCCGTGTGAGAATACCCCTCGCAGCTGCTCTCCGCTCCTTCCCCCCTCCCTTTTCCCTCGCTGGCTCGTCACGCCTAGAGGGTCCTGCTGCTACCCGCACAGCCGGGTCCCTTGGCCTTTGCTGCCCCTTCCGCTCTCAGGAGGGAACGGGGCTCACACACGCGGCCCAGCCGCGCAGTCTCCGCGGCCGCCCGCACTCCTCAGCCGGCACGGCCGCGCCCCGCCCCGCCCCGCCCCGCCCCGCCCCGCCCCGCCCCGGCCCGGCCCGGCCCCGCCCGCCCGGCCC